TGACAACCATCAAACTTGTTTTTCACTGCTCTCACACGATCCGGTCAGGGAGAGGTATAAAGGAGGTGTGACAGGCAAGGGAACTTGGAAGTCTTGTGTGGACCAGCGCGCGGTGCCATGCAGTTGTGATGTGAGTTCTGTCATTGGATCGAAAGGCTTCCCGATCATTTGTCACAGTGAGAGATACTCATATCAATTTGTGTGTTAAGAGTGTACGAGTGTACATGACTTTGCTTGGCTGTTTCCTTGTGGCAGATTAATAAATGACAATATTATTCTAGCAAGTTACAGTCCCTTGTGTTTCATTTTCCTCTTGTCTGAATATCTGGTGCCGATCGCTCACGAACCCTTTGATAAAGAATTTCATAATACATTTTCTTAGATGTTATTACTGTTTTTCTTTTACATTTTATTGTTGGATGTAACTGAGACCCTGTGTACATAATTTCGTTCCACCACATGTACCACAAATGACAAATAAAGAACCTTGAACTTCTTTTCTTCTTGTTTTTCTTCTTCTTGTTGTTTTTCATCACATTTTTTAACACTGTTGTGTTAACTCATTTTATAAATAAACTTTTGTTTAAAAAATTAAAAAAATCTTGTTCTTTTTCTTGTTCGTCGTCATCCTCCTCCATCTCACTCTGTCCTCACTCCAACTACCTCCATGTCCTCTTTAACTGCATCCCCACATCGCTTTGTCTTTTTCCTGGCAGCTGCATTTTTTAACATCCTTCTACCAATATGCCCACTGTCCCTCCTCTGGACATGTCCAAACCACTGTCCCTCCTCTGGACATGTCCAAGCCACTGTCCCTCCTCTGGATAAGTCCAAACCACTGTCCCTCCTCTGGACATGTCAAACCATCTCAGTGTGTCCTCTCTAACTTTATCTCCCAGTTGTTCAACCTGTGCTGTATCTCTGATGATCTCATTTCTAATCGTCTCCATCCTTGTCACTCCTAAGAAGAACCTCAACATCTTCATTTCTGCCACTTCCAGTTCTTTCTTGTGTCTTCTTGTCCATGTCTCTGTATCCAGACCATACAGCATAGCTGGTCTCACAACTGTCTTATAAACTTTTGACCTTTGCTGACATTCCTTTGTTGCATATCTCTAAAACGACTTTGTGACAACCTCAACTTTTCTCAAAAATCTCATTAAAACCCATTCATAATATTTTGAGTAATCCTGTTTACAGACAGACAAACCAACTCTAGAGAAAACAGAACCTCCTGGTGGGAGTACCAGTAATTATTATATTCTTTAATTAAAAGTGTTACTTGCAGAGTACAAAGCTCTGACAGAAGAAAACGCATGAGCTGACACAAAGTTCATTTAACTTGATCAAGTAATTGCATTACCACAGGATTACTGTGCAGAAATAAATTAATTTTGGTAGCCATTTTGAAAAATGTTGCCATCTTGGAATGGCCAATCAGGCAGATTTATCAAATAACTAAAAGAAAAGCATCAACAACCATCCATCCATCCATTTTCTTCCGCTTATCCGGGGTCGGGTCGCGGGGGTAGCAGCCTAAGTAGGGAGGCCCAGACTTCCATCTCCCCAGCCACTTGGGCCAGCTCTTCCGGGGGAATCCCGAGGCGTTCCCAGGCCAGCCGAGAAACATAGTCCCTCCAGCGTGTCCTGGGTCTTCCTCTGGGCCTCCTTCCGGTGGGACGTGTCTGGAACACCTCACCAGGGAGGCGTCCAGAAGGCATCCTAGACAGATGCCCAAGCCACCTCAACTGGCTCCTCTCGGCGTGGAGAAGCAGCGGCTCTACTCTGAGTCCCTCCCGGATGATCGAGCTTCTCACCCTGTCTCTAAGGGAGAGCCCAGACACCCTGCGGAGAAAACTCATTTCGGCCGCTTGTATCCGAGATCTCATTCTTTCGGTCACAACCCAAAGCTCGTGACCATAGATGAGGGTGGGAACGTAGATCGATCGGTAAATTGAGAGCTTTGCCTTTTGACTCAGCTCTCTCTTCACCACGACAGACCTGTACAGCGCCCGCTTCACTGCAGACGCTGCACCTATCCGCCTATCGATCTCACGCTCCGTTTTTCCCTCATTTGTGAACAAGACCCCAAGATACTTGGACTCCTCCACTTGGGGTAGGACCTCCTCCCTGACCTGGAGAGGGCACTCTACCCTTTTCTGGCTCAAGACCATGGCCTAGGATTTGGAGGAACTGATCTTCATCCCGGCCGCATCGCATTCGGCTGCGAACCGCTCCAGCGAAAGCTGTAGATCACGATATGATGAAGCCAATAAGACCACATCATCTGCAAAAAGCAGAGACGCAATCCTAAGGCCACCAAAACGGATCCCCTCAACACCTTGGCTGCGCCTAGAAATTCTGTCCATAAAAGTTATGAACAGAATCGGTGACAAAGGGAAACCTTGGCGGAGTCCAACTCTCACCGGGAACAAGCCCGACTTACTGCCGGCGATGTAGACCAGGCTCTGACACCGGTCATACAGGGATCTAACAGCCCATATCAAAGGACCCGGTACCCCATACTCCCAGAGTACCCCCCACAGGGTCCCCACAGGGCCCCCCGAGGGACGCGGTCGAACGCCTTCTCCAAGTCCACAAAGCACATGTAGACTGGTTGGGCAAACTCCCACGCACCCTCCAGGACCCTGCTGAGAGTGTAGAGCTGCTCCAGTGTTCCACGGCCAGGACAAAAACCGCACTGTTCCTCCTGAATCCGAGGTTAGACTATCCGACGGACCCTCCTCTCCAGAACCCCCTAATAGACCTTACTAGGGAGGCTTAAGAGCGTGATTCCCCTGTAGTTGGAACACACTCTACGGTCCCCCTTTTTGAATAGGGGGACCACCACCCCGGTCTGCCAATCCAGGGGAACTTCCCCCGATGTCCACGCAATATTGCAGAGTCGCGTAAGCCAACACAACCCTACAACATCCAGAGCCTTAAGGAATTCTGGGCGGATCTCATCCACCCCTGGGGCCCTGCCACCGAGGAGCTTTTTAACCACCTCGGTGACCTCAGCACCAGAGATCCTCAGTGGAAGGCGTGCCGGTGGGATTGAGGAGGTCTTCAAAGTATTCCGCCCACTGACCCACAACATCCTGAGTTGAGGTCAGCAGCACACCACTCCCACTATAAACAGTGTTGGTGGCGTACCGCTTTCCCCCCCCTGAGACGCCGGATGGTGGACCAGAATTGTCTCGAAGCCGTGCAGAAGTCGTTCTCCATGGCCTCTCCAAACTCCTCCCATGCCCAAGTTTTTGCCTCAGCAACCACCTGAGCCGCATGTCGCTTGGACTGCCAGTACCCATCAGCTGCTTCCGGGGTCCCACAGGCCAAAAAGGCCCGATAGGACTCCTTCTTCAGCCTGACAGCATCCCTCACCGACGGTGTCCACCATCGGGTTCGAGGGTTGCCGCCGCGACAGGCACCGACAACCTTGCGGCCGCAGCTCTGGTAAGCCGCCTCGACAATAGAGGCACGAAACATGGTCCACTCAGACTCAATGTCCCCCACCTCCCTCGGAACATGTTCAAAGTTCTCCCGGAGGTGGGAGTTGAAACTCCGTCTCACAGGAGACTCTGCCAGACGTTCCCAGCAAACCCTCACAATACATTTGGGTCTGCCAGGTCTGACCGGCATCCTCCCCCACCATCGGAGCCAACTCACCACCAGGTAGTGATCAGTTGACAGCTCCGCCCCTCTCTTCACCCGAGTGTCCAAGACATGTGGCCGCAGATCAGATGAGACGATGACAAAGTCGATCATCGAACTGCGGCCTAGGGTGTCCTGGTGCCAAGAGCACATGTGGACACCCATATGCTAGAAAAAGGTGTTCGTTATTGACAATCCATGACGAGCACAGAAGTCCAACAACAGAGCACCACTCTGGTTCAGATCAGGGGGGCCGTTCCTCCCAACCACACCCCTCCAGGTCTCACTGTCATTGCCCACATGAGCATTGAAGTCCCCCAGCAGAACAAGGGAGTCCCCAGAAGGTGCACTTTCCAGTACCCCCTCCAAGGACTCCAGAAAGGGTGGATAATCTGAACTGCCATTTGGTGCATAGGCACAAACGACAGTCAGAACCCGTCCCCCCACACGTAGGCGGAGGGAGGCCACCCTCTCATTCACCGGGGTGAACCCCAATACACAGGCACCAAGTTGGGGGGCAATAAGTACGCCCACGCCTGCTCGGCGCCTCTCACCAGGGGCAACTCCAGAGTGGAAGAGTGTCCAGCCCCTCTCAAGGAAACTGGTTCCAGAGCCCGAGCCATGCGTAGAGGTGAGTCTGACTATTTCTAGCCGGAACCTCTCAGCCTCACACACCAGCTCAGGCTCCTTCCCCACCAGTGAGGTGACATTCCACGTCCCAATAGCCAGCTTCTGTAGCCGAGGATCAGACCGCCAGGGTCCCCGCCCTCGGCCACCACCCATCCCACATTGCACCCGACCCCTTTGGCCCCTCCCACAGGTGGTGAGCCCATGGGAAGGGGGACCTGCGTCTCCTTTTCGGGCTGTGCCCGGCCGAGCTCCATGGGTAAAAGTCCGGCCACCAGGCCCTCGCCCGCGTGCCCCACCTCCAGGCCTGGCTCCAGAGTGGGGCCCCGGTGACCCACGTCCGGGCAAGGGAACACTAGGTCCATTTGTGTTTCTCATCATTGGGGTCTTTGGGCTGCACTTTGTCTGGTCCCTCACCTAGGACCTGTCTGCCATGGGTGACCCTACTAGGGGCATAAAGCCCCTGACAGCATAGCTCCTAGGATCATTGGGACACTCAAACCCCTCCACCACGGTAAGGTGGCAGCCGTCATACAGAATTTGGTGCTTTTATCACAGTTCGAAAGATTTTTCCATGATGTGCTCTACTATTTGCGTTCACAGCTCTGTGAGGTACCAGTGATGCTTAGAAGGATGTTGTTGAGTCAGCAAAGTTTGACGTAATCAGCCATGTTCTCTGAAGGTGCTCATCATGTGGGACATTTGTTCTTGAAATCCAGGTCCGTTCAACGAGTCGGCGTATCAGAGCCGACAGATGCAGGCAGGAGTCACGAAACAGCTGTGTGCTCTGCAGAGCGGCTTCTTCGACAAGTCTTTTAAAAGGATCTTTGAACATGAGGCGCTGAATGAACCTTTGAGACGGGCGCGACAGAACCGGATCCAGCAGGCCAAGAAGAACTTGAGCAAGGCCTTCCTGCCCTGTAACGGGCCTAAGAAGCCGTGAGACACAACACACACACAAAAAAAATCTTCAGCCACTTGAAATATTCATGGTTTACTATTGAACTGAAGACTAATATACAGTATATACCCAGCATATATATATATATATATATATATATATATATATATATATATATA